GTTTGGTGTAGGGGATCCCGGAAGGGAGTCTCCAGAAACAAGTGAGGCCCCAGAGGGGGTCCCCTTAACACAGAGAGGTTCTTTTGCAGAGTTTGAAATGTTTGTTTGCTGTCAATGTTGTAGTCATCTTGTTGTCTAGTACTCTCCTTAATCGCGTCCTTCTGTGAGATATTCGAGAGTTGTTGTGTGGCTACCGGGAGTCATTGTTATTTTTTCGTTGCGGTAAAGCAGCGTAGGTACGTAGAGCGTAGTTCATTTTTATGAGTAAAGTGAATCCATTGGCGTTGTGGTGGTCAGAGTTTAAGGTGCAGCGATTAGATTTTGTTAAAGAGGCCGACCACATGAAGGAAGCCAATCAGTGCTGCAGTCCTGGCCGGATCGTCGCTAAGTGCATATCTGATGCTGCCTGAATTGTCGTAGCATTCACGGAGACCCTGAATATTGTGGGCAGTGGCAGAGTGAGGCGTTCGACAGAGTTCACAAAATTTCCGGAAAGGCCGTTCCCGGAGAAATTGTGCGATATTCTAGTGTAACCCGTTCTGAGCCTCGACATGATCCACTTACGAGTGTCACCCTTATTTTTTTTCTAGTGAAATGGTCCCTCGAATGGGACCATGAGGTTGACCATGAATTCCAGATAGCGTTTTTAGTCAATTGTTTTTAGATCCCCTGCTGGGAATAGGACCGCTTGTATTCCGGAGGCCGCTAGATGGTCTGCCTCCTCGTTTCCGCGAATGCCAACGTGTTCAGGGATCCAGACAAAGGTGGTGTTTCTGGGTGCGTATTATTGGATGGCTTGAATCCACGAGTGTTTGGCTAGATCAGAGTCGAGGGCTTGTACTACGCTGGCGGAGTCAGTGAATACGACAATCGGCTCATTTGAAGGAGTAGTGGCGGTGATGAAGGCAGCGGAAGCATCCGCCGAGAAGATGGAGTATTGATTCGGTAGTCGATGGCATATGGACATATGGGGATCCGAGATTCCGATGCCGAAACCGCCACACGAGACTGAGCCATCGGAGTACCGGATGGTGTAATTATTATACCTGGTTCTCTGGAGCTCTGCGACCGATCTCATAAGTACAGGTGAATTGGTTCCTGCTTTGAAGTTCCTCTTTATCGTCAAGTCAGTAGTGGGTCCGGATAGGTTCCAACCTCTGGCTCCGCACCAGCGGACCCTGGACACCGAAGGGAGCTCCAGGTTGGTTTTCTAAAATATGTCATTATTTCTGACATTGAGAAATGTATCGTCAAATATGGATGAACTTCGTTGACCGACTTCTCCAGGAAATTCTGTGGCAAGATAAACCTGTTGGACCAATCCGGGTTTTCTAGCTCAGGACTGTCATGTACGGAACATCCACATTTGATCGTTTTATGTTTAGAGTGTTGATTACTCAGATTTGAGCAACTTATATAGGTGTGAACAGTTTTGACAGAGAAGATACGGACGAGAGTTGGAGGAAGGCAGGGAAATTTAACGGCACATACTGGACTACGGATCGGCACACAAGAGCGGAACCGGCTTGGAACCTGGTCCCTACACACCCTACCTAGCCACTAAGCGTCTTCGAGAGCTTGCCAAACAAGGCCAGTCATCTCATCCACTTGCCGCAAAGGTTCTCGCCGACGATTTCTAACTACATGGATGATATGATTAGCGGAGTTTACGACGTGGACGAAGGGAAAACTCTATGCACTCAGCTCCTTGAGTAGTTGCAATCACCCGGTCTCCGTAAATTGCCATCTAACTCCTCAGAAATTCTGGAAAGTATCCCAGCTGAACTCCGCAACAAAAGTTCCGTTCTTAGTAGATTCCACCTCAACGGTTAAAACCCTAGGACTCAAGTGGACACCAGCCTCCGACGAATTCGGTTTCCACGTACCGAAATGGAATGAAGAGAGTGTCATCACCAAACGTATCGTACTCTACGATCCCCTAGGACTCGTAGGCCCTGTCATCGTACTCGCCAAGTGCTGGGCAACTAAGAAGACCTGGGACGAACCATTAGAAGAAGAACTTCAACATCGTTGGCTGCAGTTCAGGGGCTGCTGGAACCATCACTGTTCCACGACGGGTCATATCGATTCCTGAACCTATCATTCTCGAAGTACACGGTTTCAGCGAAGCTTTATTACGGGCGTTCGGAGCCTGTAATTATTTACGTGCAGTATCAACCTCTAAGTCGAAGGTTGCTCATCTGGGAAATAGTAAGAAGCAGAAGAAAGTGAACTCTCCGGTGCATTACTACTGAGCCACCTCTTCCAGAAAGTACAACTAAGTCTAAAATTGAAACGTCAAATCCTTGATCTGGGTCGACTCAACCATTGTGCAACATTGGTTGGCAGCGACTCCTTCACACTAGAAGACATTTGTAGCCACCAAGGTCTCCGAAATTCTGCATCTTAATAGCAATACTTAAGGCATTATTTGAAAAAAAAATTGACATTAGGTTTAGAAGTAAATTTTGATAAATTTCAAGTCCTTATTAGGTTTCCTTACGATAAATCTAAATCGCTAACTGCCATAACTCTATATGATAATAAATTCAAAGTTAGACAGAGATGCTTGAACGCTTATAAAACAAGTCAAATTGTGGTAGAGTTCTGTAAAAAATTAAAACCAGCATGGGAGCTAGGAAAACTTATTTATAAAACTTTTTTAGCACCTTCATTAACATATGGTACAAAAGTGTCAGTTTTGACTAGGAAAAGCAGAATTTTGATGGCAAATTTTGAAAAACTAAAACTGAGAAATACAAAAGGGAAGAAAAGGTCCTACCGATTTAAGCGATTTGGATAGGGAAAGTGGGATTGCCAGCTTCCTGTTGCTAACATTTCGTGGATAGAGGACGGGCTCTTCTCCACACTCATGGGGCATCCTTCAGGACGAGGGCTTGTTCCGTTGCGTATATGATCTTGGTTGCTGGAAGAAGATTCTTATTCTGTTCCTGGTGGGTTTCGTGTGGGTGTTTCATCTTACGGATCCACCCTTCCGTTTTTGGCCCTTCATACAGCGCCAAGCTGAATATGATTTGTTAGTGGGACTTGATCAAGCCGTCCAGATTGGACTGCCCATTGCTATGTGCAGGCGCCTTGCTACATGAGTGGTAGTCTCAGTCATCATCATCAACAAGGTCTCCGAAATTCAGCATCTAACAACGCATGGAATTTGGGGACACGTTTCCGGATTAGAAAACCCCTCGGATATTATTTCTCGTGGAATGCTGCCTACTCAACTGGTGGAAAGTTTCCACTGGAAACCGACATTTGGTGGCACGGCCCTCCCTGGCCTCATTAAACCTCGCACATACCTATATCCAATGACGATTTCCTCATTGAAGATCTTGAGGAACGATCGATTGCTCTTCCAGTACAGAATTCTTTTTTAATTTCCTCTTCAAAATCTTCTGCAGAACACAAAACGTTCATTATTCATGAACATTTAGTGTTCAGTTAGTGACTAGCAAACATTGCCCGCAGCTTGTGCCACTGTTTCTTGAGTGAGTTAACTCAAATCCATCCGTGCACTCGTCTATTAGCACCCAAAAAACAACGTAGAGAGTATGCTTTTGATATAGCAATTTTCTTAATTCCAAAATTGGCGGAATCGCTTAACACTTACGAAGATCTCATGAAAAACAAATGGATAAGCATATTTTTCTGAAGCAAAATGCCTCCAAACAATTATTCCCCATAGCATCCGACCGTAACCATTACCCCGTCCGAGAATCCTACCAAATTATGAATATTCTTATCCCACGATTACCCACTCAATAAATATTCATACTGTTGCTCTTCCCTCGAACTTCTTGCCACCTGAATGAAACCCAAAGGAGCCCCAACCCTGTCCCTGCATTGCAAATCATGGCGATGCCTTGAAGCAGTTTTCCTCGTCCCAAATTGGCTTTCTTGCTTTCCGGCGGGCGGCGATGATATGTTATCATACTTTCTCCGTTGCCATTGGCAGAGCAAGGAGGCTCACAGTTGTCTGAAGAGGATCCAGTTCAAGCCGCCTATAGCGAAGCAGCGTATGCAATAATGGCACGGACGATTCCTATTCCGGATGACACTTTTTCGGCTTTGGAATTTCAAATTAGTTCTTTTATCCAGGAAGCCGTACCATGAATACTAACAGGAGGAAATGAAGATAAATAAACAATCGCGTAATGGCAATTAGTGATTGGATTTTGTTTTTTATTTTCGTTTCATTGCTTTAATGTTTATTGTTTAGCTTATCGATTCAATTACATCTAAATTGATTTGGCTGCGGAATTCTAATCGATTGTGGACGTGTAAATATGATCGATAGCGCCTGAATGTATGCAAAACCATAGCGGGGATTTTTTGACAATGACATTTATCACGGCTCACTTTTATGTGTTTGTGAATTTTCGTGCCCACATACACTCATACACAATGTTTTCCCAGTAGTTGAATCAGTGTTACGATTTGTCATTTCCTGTTCTTCATTTTTCATAATATTTCATATCCACCAAATTTTCGGTTTCTGTATGCGTGCGTGTGTATTATTATTCCCTGTATAGTTGCTCTCCGCTCTGTCCACTTGAGTTATTGATTTGGCAATCACAGTTGAGTTCACAGTGTGAATGAGTTTTGAGCCGTTTTTGTCCCCGATTTCTCTGTTCCTACTTTTCCTTCCTCAGTGTCTGTAGATATTGTATAGAATCAATAATTTTATATTTGATATAAGTTTGATATTGTTTTCTCATATTTCTACTTTCCAACAACTATCTTACGAATTCGTAAATAACGACCCGGTTGTCTGTCTACTTGAATCAATGTAAACAAATTTTTCCCAACCAAAAAACAACTGAATCCGACCATTCGACTCGAATTTTTTGATTGAAACCAATACAACAATAACACAATTGATCAACACCGACTACGAACCGAACCAATCGAAAAACGTGTGCAAATTTCGTTTACTTACACTCATAAACTTTAACTTACATCCACTCATACACACGTACGTATAGGAGAGGTAGGGCCCGGTTGCTCAGCACACGCAGAGGGATGTGACGGATCTACAGGTATTAGATTAAATGCAAACTTACACTCGCTCAAACTTCTTTTATTTTCTTTGTTATGAAAAAAAAAACCTAGACCCAACTAACTAACGAACAACCGAGGGTTGTGGGCAAGCACAAGACTAAAAACACAAATTTCGTACGTTCATTCGTAGAGCTATGCACCCGAAACGATTCGTTATGGTGTGATTTTGATGGGAGATTCACTTCACACTGTTTGACATTTGGCAGAAATTTTCTAAATCACACCACTCGTTTGAGTATGGGATGAATAATTCAGAAGAAATTAGTAGAAAAGAAAATTCCTAGATCAGTTAGCATTTGCGACAGTCCCACGCAGAGCGAACGTTTATGTCTTACATTCGATGACGTTTGTTTCCTTTATGTTTACAACAACGGTTGACCGAAATTTATGTTTTTATTCTCGATATTTTAAGTATTTTCGGATTGATTATGTTTTTGTTTTTCTTATCTTAATGTTTGTCATTTCTAGTGTTCTAGTTTTGAAAAGCTTTTGCTTCAAATTGTACTTTGTTATTTTACCATAGCTCTAGACTTAATGGCTTTGTCTTTTGTCAGTTTATGCAACTCGATGTAGATAGATACTCTTATGAATGCTTAATTTGAGGTCATTAATTTAAAACCGTTTTCGTGTGCATTAGATGGATAGTGAGGCCTTGCTTATGGGAAACAGTCCTATTGTTGCGATGCGTTAGAAACGATAGGAGCCTATTGTTGTGTATGGAGACCTCCATACACAACAATAGGCTTCTAACGGTTCTAATTTGCACGCAGGGTTGCTGATCTTCGCAACGAATCGTGTTTCGCCTTTTCTACTGCTCACCAACGGTATTATTCTGCTGCAGTAAAAGCTTTTCTCTTCGTGCACTAATCCTTGTGAGCAACGAATGGCCCGTGCCTTTTCTGTTTTTCGCTTCTCCTACTGTTATCTGTCATTCGCTGAGTTACCACCTTTCGCAATCAAGCAAGCGTCACTCACCAACTGTTCATTACTGCACGAAAATTGATTCGACGAATTTGACAGCAACTTGATTCGCAGCCGAATAATATTCGCAGCGAATGCTTCTGAATGAAGCGTGAGCATCTGGAACTGCACAAATAAAATACAGGCAGCAACATCTTGTTCAGGTAGGGGTTCCTGGGGTAAAATGCACCAGTTAAGGAACTCAAGGTGTTTTCCCATTAAAATTAAAAGCAACAGTGAATATCATGTATTGCATAAATTTTCTTAAGCATTATTTAGTTGTTTATATTCGAAACATATATGGAAACTTTGAAAACATACCTTAAAAAATGATTTTAGGGCATCATAAAATAATGCCACTAATCGGGGAAAAATTCACCCATGCTGAGGTAAAATGCACTACAACAAAGAGGCAAGACGCCCCATAATAATGAGGCAAAATGCATCCCAACAATGGGACAAAATGCACTACAATAATGGGGCAATATGACTCTCCTTATCGTGACCAATTAATGCAGAAGAACGTCTTCGTTTTTGACTGCCCCCAGTTCCGATCGTAGTTGTTCTAAGGTCCATGACCACTTAGTAGACTTCGGAACGTTGCGCACAATTTATGAAGAAAGAATTGAACGTAAACAAGCTTGTTTACTAAAGGATGATTTAACCCCAAACTTAGGAGTGCATTTTGCACCAAATCTCAATAACTTTTTCAAAGGGACGTATCAGCTTTTGTAAACAATACATTTGATCGTCGATTTGGCGTAACTGGTAGCTCGCTCACGCATGCTAACACTACCATCAGATAGGGGTAATGTTTACCTACCTGTTAATGGTGTAAGTTAGCGTGTACGAGCTACCAGTTACACCAAATCGACGATCAAATGCATTGTTTACAAAAGCTGATACGTCCCTTTGAAAAAGTAATCGAGAAATGTTTTTGATCATAAAATAGAAATACAGGGGTAACTCAAAATAACTAGGATAAGCAAATTTTTGGTCAAATTTGGAGTGTTGTAACTTCGTCAAATATGATCTGATTTTAAATCTTCCAAGAGCATTTGACTGGAATACTAATATTGTTCTACAGTGTAGCCACGAAAATAATCCTGGTCACCGGATACCGGAGATATTCCGGGTTTCCGGAAGGCTTGTCTAACTTGCTAAATTTTTGGTGAAATTTTATATATGATGCTGGTTAAGTATATATATTTTTATTGAATGCAACGAAAGAAGAACCATTTTTTAAGCGAATCGTATGCCAAGAACTAAAATCGGCCCATATTCAACCGTGATATGGCCATTTCCCTGGAATCGGTTCTGGTGGAGGGTTCTGCATGCGGACAGATCATTGAATCACTCAAAGCATGCCGTGCGACAGCTCTTTCTTCATGGTTTCTCGCCAATAGACTTTCGATAAACTTTAAATACATCATTGACCACATTGGCCACTCTCAGAACATCCAGTATGCCCCCGGGGGAACCTGGAGCAGGGGACAATTGCGTTTTTACACCAAAACATGCCGTGCGATAGCTCATTCTTCATAGTTTTTCATGAATAGGCATTCATTAAACTTCAAATGGATCAGTGACCACATTGGCAGTTCTTGGAATCACGGGATACCCCCGAGGTATCCTGTAGCAGGGGTCAATTGCGTTTTTACTCAAAAACATGCCGTGCGACAGCTCTTTCTGCTTATATTTTCATGAACAGTTACAAATTTGGGTAGAATCTACCCAGATCGGTCAAAACTGAACCTACCCAAAAATGGGTAAACTATGTAAGGGGTGACAAGTTGACAAATGAACAAAGTCAATCGGATTCATGTCGATGTTGTTCATTTGTCACTATGGTAGTTTTGAAATAGCGTGTGTATATTACAAACATGGAATCAGATGAAAAAACTTGGAATGGGTAATCTCCCAACAAACAATTTGAGCTGATTAAAAACTGAATAAGCCAATTTTTAGCAAGAAGCAGAAGAAGCAAATTTCGGCCTGTATAAGCTCATATTCAGCATTCAATGTTTGTTGGGCTGTCTTCAAATAAAATTATTTAGATAAAGATATATTTACCAACTATTGTAAAGGGCCTGTTAGTTTGTGTAAACATAACTTCGTTTACCCTTTCCTCAAAAAGCGTGGATCTCCTATGCAAATCAATCAATTAGTTTGCGTTGTTTACAAATACTGATCGGCCGTTTTCAATTGTTGGTCGAGAAATTGACTTGAAATTTGACCTTGGTCTAGTCCCGGTCCGTTATCTATCGGGTTGAAAATTTTCTCGACTTCCCTAGGCATAGAATATCATTGCGTTTACCACACAATATACAAATTCATGCATTGGTGATGGCATCAAAAACTCTCAATTAATAACTGTGAAAGTGCATCTAGAACACTACGTTGAGAGTTGGTAAAACGCCCGCTACAGTAGCGTGAAAAGATGATGAAATCATCGACAAATGATGCAAGGGATTTTTTATTGAATTTTAGCAATATCTTCGTTCCGCATCTATGTTCGCCAAGCAACGATATTTTGTGCTAGACGAATCGCGGATCACTTCCACTGCGTCAGAAATCTTTCTTTTTAAAATTCCAGATCGACGCTTAAAACTTTCACTCATCTTTAACACTATGCAATAATATTCACGGTGAATATTAAAACTATTCGCGGTGAAGAATCTTCACTGTCGTTACTTATCGTGTCCGAATACAACGGATTGAAGAAGGACAATAATAAAACAAGACGGAATGAAAGACAGCACGAACAACACGAAAATTCATCACCCACCGGTCACTCACAGAGGCTCTCATCAATGACAGTATTCGGTTCGTTCGTGAACTCAAGCTTTAAGCCCGTTACGTTGAAAGCGTTCGGAGATGACAAACGCTTTCGAATAGTACGAGGCGAATATCAGTAACCCTGTTTGCACGGCATGCAGATTAGCGGGAGTCATAATAAAAATTGTTCCATTTTTAAACGGCCACATTAACATTAGCGCTATCTTGATGTTGGTTTTTGTGTTGCAATTATTTGACAACCGTTATAACATCAGGCATAACATTTGATAACGGCACAAAAGCATTTGTAAACAAACTTTCCAAGGTCCTTTACACGCGAACCAAAGTACGCCCACGCAAACCAACAACATCATCGGATAGGGGCAACTGTCACCTTTCCAAAAGTGGTATTGGTATGCGTGGGCGTACTTTAGGTCGCGTGTAAAGGGCCTTAGAAAGTTTGTTTACAAATGCTTTTGTGCGCTTATCAAATGTTATGCCTGACATGTTATAACCCTCCAATCTGTACAGCGTTTTACAGGTAGTGCTGCACAATTTCGACAATACACGGTGATACTCAAAATTCTGCTTTGGTCACTCGTTTGAGCTAACAGTCATCGTCAAGGCAAACCATGTCAATTGTCAGTGGCATTTTTGTCAGTGACGAACATATGCTGATTTGCTTATAAGCTAAATTTAAAATGAAATTAAATGGCTTGAGGAAAACAATTACATGAAGACATTAAAGTGAACAAGCATCTACGCCTGAACAGCTTGGATAACAATAATGTGACTCAGAATGCAAGAAATTACCCTTTCTGTTACCAGGTGAATCTTTGTCATTGACGAAAAAATGAATGAGATTTTGACAAAGATTTTTTTGAGGATCAAGTCTATCATTGACTATGTGACACACAATTTTGTCAATATCGCGCAAAAGTCTGTCAATGACAGTGACAAATCTCAGCACTGGCTACAGTACTGACGACTCTACAGCACACAGTGGTCTAGAACTGTGAAAAGACGGTCAAAAGTCATTATCTCATGAATCTTGCATTTTAGACTAGTGGTGTCTTCAGATAAGTTTCTGCACTAAAAATTAAATTTAGTTTATACAACGAAAGCGTTCGTTTGCTTCACGAATTCTTTTGTTGTTTTCTGCAACGAACAATATTCGTACGTTCTAACAAACTTGATTTGTTTAAAATTCCAAAATCATTCACTTCTGAACATTCGTGTA